CTCTCTCTCTCTCTCTCTCTCTCTCTCTTGTTCTCGCTCTCACGCTAAGTATTTTAATTACGTACTTCACATCGCGTTTACCGCCCGTTAATATAATCAGGATCTCGGTTCGAGAATCAACTCGGCGTTTCTTAATTCTCCACAGCCATCATGATCCAGTAAAAATACTCCTCCGCCAGATGCCGCACTACTGTTGCTCGATTTATTTCTTTTCGCGTGTGCAAAACACGCGAAAGAGAGAGAGAGAGAGAGAGAGAGAGAGAGAGAGAGAGGAGAGAGAGAAATCGCATTGTTATCACGTGGCCCCGTGGCTTGCCATTTCGCGAAATTATATCGCCATTTGGGTGCTTCGTTATTTTGAGTCTGGCGCACCGCCAAGTCAAGCTGCCGGCCAGAGGGCCTCTCATTACGTTGCGCGGCATGTCGAATGCATTTGTTGCGACGAGCGCGGGGAAATTCGTGGCTTTGCGAAAACACAAGTCATGCGACGACACACCCTGGACGAGCAAGACGAACGATTCCAAGGGGATGACTCACTTATATTGACTTTCCATCTGAATTCCCTTCTATCGATGAAGGCGCTTTTAAATGACCGACTTTAAACGAAAGTGCTTCTGACTGAGAGCCAATCGGAAGTGGCTTATAAGCCACATCAGGGGTGCTCTTATTAAAAGAAAGCTGCTCGTAATAAGGTTCATTAGATTATGCGCGCAATTGCACGCGAAAATCGCGCGATCACGACGTACCAACGCGCCGTTCAAGTCCTCTGCAAAATCAATCGCGTTTCCCCGCGACTGATGTGACAAGCGGGATTTCTTCGCGGCTCTCCCTGGAGATACCGCGGAACCGTGTCGACTGCAATAATGCAGGCGCAAACACACAACACAGTGCTGTATCATACGCGCGTGCCTATATCGCCGTATATATATATATCGAGTCAACCGCCTATCAGGAACCCCCAATCGTAAATATAGCTGTGCGAGTTACAGTTCCGCGCGCGCGAGACGTCTTTATAGTCGGTAGCGGGGTAGCGTGACATCTATTCCGCAGTCATCGACCGATCCTATGTTTACGTTTGCACAAAGAAAGCGCTGAAGCGTCAGGCTCATCGGAAAATCGACTGAGCTTTTAACCCGTACGTGTTATTTTTCTTGGACATAAAAACAGGCCGTCTGCCAATAGAGAGCTCGAGAAGCTTATGGGCCGATAGTGTGCGCTTCATCATCACTACTACACGGCCGAGCGTCTGCTGAGAACGGGGAGCGCGCCCCGCGTTGAAGAGGAGCGCGTCTCACCTCCAGCCGCGCATAAACGAGAATAAACGACGTTTAAATATTTACCCGTACACGATTCGCGACGTACGTCAGCTTTATTAATCTCGTTCTCGCGAATTGCGCGTCTACTTCACTTCCACCACCATCAACGCCAACACCACCGCCAGCTTTTCCGCCGCTGCCTCTCCTCGTCATCGACAGCACACCTCGAGGGAACGGCGCGAATGTCGGAGACGGCAACCCTAAACACGCTTATAAAGTCGGTCACCACCACATTGTCTCCGTTCTGCCGTGTATGGCAGTGGTAACCTGTTGCCAGACACAAACATCGACTGGTCTACGTAGAGAATAACGTCGAGGGAGTGCAGCGGCGACTATCCGCGTTCGATCAATGATAAACTGCGTGAACACCGAGACGGCCGCTAAATGAACACGATGGCTGTAATTCGCGATAATTCGCCAGCACGCGTGCACCGCGATGCGGTGTGCGTGAGCGAGATTAAAACTCGGATGTGACGTTATTACGACGCATATCCCTATAAATATCTCGAGACTCGAGGGTAAAAGGGAAAATAAATAAAGAGACGCTAATGATACGGGCGACAACGGTGGTGGTATTCCCGCTTAGCGCGCAGAGAGGGAGAAAGAGAAAGGAAGAGAGAGAGAGAGAGAGAGAGAGGAGAGAGGAGACAAGAGACAACTGCGAGTACATATAATATCGCAAAGCCAGGACTCCGATTTGCCTCGTTTCCCCGGTGGTGTGTCATCGCCGTATGCGGCGTCGGCGACGGCGGAGATCGCAGGCAATTGTCCGAGAGAGCGAGGAACATGTGCATCTCTCGGAATAGCATTCGCCAGACGTAACAAAGCGACTGGTATGATGCTTACCAGAGTATTTCCGCGCGTATTTTCGGTACAGGCACTTTCCAATTGTTTTCCACGACTCGCGCACAAGTCGCTCTCTCGTGCTACATGTCTAATTGCGATTGCAGGCTGCGATAAAATTTATCGACGATATGTATGCGTGTGTGCGGGTGTATATACGCCTTGATGCGCGTCTCTATGTTACGTGTGTGTACTTGACGACATACACAAATGGAGAATTCCGCCCGAAGTGAGTCGTCTTATCACTTATTCATAGTCGACCCTCGCGAATCGCACTTCACGGCTGCTCCGGGCATTCCTCGGAGATGCCGAGGAGTGTCGCGCGTCGGGGGTTGGAAGAGAATGTTTCCAGACGCGACCTGACCCCGCGTTGTACACGGGTCGATAATCGAAATGTACCTGTTCGCGAGCCTGCACGAGATGCGTAGTCGACGCGTTAACGATGACAATTGCGTTACCTGATTGCTTCCGCTGCCGCTCGCGGGCTTCACGCTGTCAGAGAAGAAGAATACGGGACAAGTCTCCGCGGATGATGACGCGCCTCTCACGCCATGAACTTTCCCCCGATCTGATCCACCGGGAACACACACGGGCGAACGAAGGCGAGCGCGTCCTTCTCTCCCCGTTCGGATTAGAAAATCACCACCGCCACCGCCGCCGCCGCCACCGCCGACTCCGTCGCCGTTGGCCGCCTCACCTCCTCCACCCTTTCCTTTTTCCGCGCCGTTTCTTTCCTCTTCCTCTTCCCTTCTTGTGAGAAAGCTCCTCGGAGTCGTTACATTTTCCAACAAGATTTTGCTCTTGCCACCGTCGTCCTCCTCTCTTTCTCTTTCCCTCTCCCTTGCTTGCTCTCCCTCGAGAATTCGCGCGGATTTGGCCCGGCGTTCGGTTTGCGGCACCGGTCTCTTGCTCTTCTTCACTCTTCGGTTTCTCCTCTGTTCCTCTTTTTTTCACTTTTTCCGGAGTAAACTCTCTCTCGCGCGCGCACGTTCTACCGCGAAAGACCGTGGACGAGTAAAGCCGCCTCTATGTACTAAATAAGAGCGTGTAAGCCAGGACACGCCTCTGCAAAGCATGGCGCAGACTCAGATTCCGTATACGCGAACGGAGGCCCCGCAGGGTTTTACTTCGAGAACTCAATACGCGCAAGTCATGCGCTGGACAAAGCGTTAATTCATGGAAAAATATGTCATCGCGGCAGAATCGTGCGTGAAATCCCCTTGGATTTTCAACCACGGTGAAGTCCGCTCGGCGTGCAAAACAGACCGATATCGGGGTGGCTTCCGATAACACTTACGCAGGTTGTTGCACGCCTCGGAGAAACAAGGACCAATGTTCATTTCTTCGGTCTCCAATTAATCTACGAATTTCTCGAAGACACCGTAATTGATGCAAATAACGCGACATTGCGTGTACAAAAGTTTGAATTGGAAACTAAAAGAAACCCAGATAGACGTATTTCGGCATATGATCTGCTTAGCGATTAGCACAAGTTGCATTCTTATGCAACAAAAGTTTGTTCAATATATAAAAGAAGTCATCTAATATCATGAAAATTGTCGCTTATTTTGTCGGAAAGAGAACGCGATTAATTCGAAATTATTGCGCTAATAGGAAGTAAATATTTCGATTAAAATTATAGTAAAGTGGATATTTTTTGAATCAAGCTCTCTTGAAAAACACGTTGTGCTGTTTTTTTTGTAACAGTATCACAAAGTGTACATTAAGTGTTTGCATACTAAGTTCAGCATCTCTGTCTATCTGAGGAACACTCATTGATTTTATTTCCGAGATAGGGAAGAACTCGCGCAAATGTATGTTGTAATGAACACACAAGTGATACGAGAATACAATCGATTAAAACGATCCCGCTGAAAGCATAATGTGTGCAGACTAATTGACTCATTCATTGAATGAGTTTAATAGAGGAGCGGCTGGTGTCCGACACCTCTGCGATTTGAGGAGTAGGTTTCCACGCAATCACGCGATATTATTTCACTCTGCACAGCAACTCGAACTAAAAAGAAAAAAAAGCAATCTTTATTATATGTTAAAGGGTCCGCTTTTACACAATCAACGTTGCGACGATCAAATCAACGTATCGCTATGATCCACGCCTCATCCTCACATAATGTAGAATAAAAAGATCGTCGGTTTAGCCTCAATAAATATCGAGTGGGAAGCGGCGTATTTGGAAATGTACACATATCACAGATGAGTATTACATCAGTCAAGAAATAGAATCCGCGAGATAACGGTAATACAAAATATATTCGTCGGAAAATCATGTACCGGCGCGCTTTCTTTTTAAGGCAAGAACAGCTAACGGCAAAGGCGCTCCGGGTAATGCGATTATCACGGCTCGAGAGCTACGATGCGCGTGGAATTCCGCGTTCTAGCGGCAAAATTGGTGTGTCATTTGATCAATGTCGTTAAGGCACTCTCTCTCTCTCTTCTCTCTCGCTTGTGTGGCATCATCGCCACGGCTTGCGAACGGTTCCCGTGCTCGTGCTCCTTCTGATACTCTGATCTGCAATTGAAATATATAAATGAGTATTTGTGACGGTAAGAAATGATGAATCGACCGCGTGCTGTATAGACGACTCACTCAAAGTATTCGGTGACACCAGTCTCTCTCTTATATCCGACGTCCAAGTCTGGCACCTGGACCGTATGATATTCTTTGTGACGACTAACGGCCGCTGATACTTGATCATCCTGATAAAAGTCGACAATTTAAGTACGTTCCGACAAATGACGGAGCAGTTCTTCAATAGGACAATAGCAACGAGAAGGGAAATTACGATATTACGTGGATTCGAACTCCTTAAGATTCTTTCTAGCCAGAGTCTTTTGAGTAGCGAACGAGTACGAGCGAGCCGAGGCCGGGCGTTCCATCCGAGACTGTTTGATCTCGCGATCCTGTGCTATTACCTTCACCCTTTTCGAGGGAGGCTGGGCAAACAGCTCCACTAAGTTCAGGGATGCTGCGTCGCACTGATGAAGAGACGCATAGTCATTAAAATGAATACATTGCGATTAAGCAAGTCGAAGTAATTGAGAATAATCGTTTACATCAAAGGTACTGCATGCCGTGAAGCTCAGAGGAGGGGAGATGATGTGCAACTTTCTCGAGAATGCAAGGCAACAAAGCGGTAATTACCTGTAACTGGAGACGATGAAGGAAGTTCACCTCCGCCAGGTTTAAAGGCGCGTCGACGTGTAACTTAAGCATACAGTGCAGCGCCTCTTTGTATATTTTTTTCAACGTGATAACGCGCTCGGTCCGCATTAATCTACGCGTTAAGTAACCCCTTGCATACGCATTGATAATATTCACCGCCCGCACCTACAATGCAACAATATAATTGAACGTTTGCGTCTTTATTAACGCCGGCACGGCGTTCGGCACGTCTCATCGATACACACTTTTGGTCGATACTCACGTGTTTCTCATGATACACCGAGGTGTCTAGCACTGGTACATGTGTGGTGTTACTGTCTAACGGGAACAATTGCCGGTTTACAGTTGAATTTTTACACGCAGAGCGATCGCGCGACTCGCGATTGCCCTTCTTGTCGTCGTTCTCGTCGTTAACATTATTATTACTATTGTTATTACTACTAATACTATCGTTATGTACGGCCTCGCGTAGGTTTATCTGCCTCGTAAATTCTAAGTTAACAGTCGCGGAAGACGTGTCCGTGATGTAAAGCGGAGACTTATAATGCTTAGTGTACAAGTTCTTCGACGAGATGTAATTCAGAGGACACACTATGACGTTCGCACGGAACTCTGACGACGATTTGTCGTTGTTGCAGGGAACGTCCGCGTGTACGCTTCTGGGGGAGCTTACATCTAGTTGCTGTCTTATTTCGCAAGCAGCGTTTGGCGTAACACTCGGAGTCACTGAAGCTTGATATGGTATCCCCACGGAGCATTTCTGTATTTCCGCCAACAGGAGCATCTGCTGCTTCTGAAATTCCGCCTGCAGCAGAGACTGCTCCTTCCGTTGACGGTCTATCAGCTGCATCATCTGCTTTTTGTGCATCTCCTCGATTTCTCTGTAGACAGTCAGCAGTTTCTCTGAAGTGATGGATGACTTCGTCCTGACGAGAGGGTCTTGATGCTCTTTCATGTCCCTCATCTTATCGTAGTGTGTCTTTCCATCCGCGCATGGCGACCGCGTCTCGGGGCTGTTCCCAATCGCCGCGGCCTCTTGCAATTTATTCACCAAATTCAACACACACACGCTGTCGTCTCTCTTTGATTTCTCTGTGCTTCTGTCCTTTAAATCGATATTAGGTGTATGATTATGTTCATTCGATGTGATATCAAATCTGCTTATGTGCTGCTCCTCAACAATTGTCGCTTCGGTGCAATCAGCAGATTTGTTCGTTTGACAGGAATCTGTGGAGACAACTGACTCTGCACGCTGAAAATTCGATTCGTGTGTAGCTTCCAGCTTCTCGTACGTTTCAGTGTCCTCTGCTGGAAGTTGCTTGTTTTCCCACTCCACCTTGGACTGTGTGATATTCCATTGCTTGCGCTGTGATACATTAACAGTAGTGGGTGTAGGAACATAGTTTTTATCAGTCAATTCTGTATGCATATGGGCAAGTAACATAGGGCTGGGTGTATCCAGTACATAAGAACCTTGACGTGATAATTTAGGTGGTTGTTCACTTTCCTTGGTGAGCATCGTGAGAGGCTTGATGTGATCCTGCTCGCACTTGAGATCGCTTAACGTTATTGGAACAATATCCAGCGTCTTGGGTATTTCAGGTTTCCAGCTTTCTGATGATATCACTTCTTCATTAGGTATTGAAGCTTCCATCATAGTGTCTATGCATTCTGTCTGATCGATCTTTATGTTCACAAGTTCTGCATCATTATTCTCTGAATCAGTACAGTTAATTGAGGAAATCTGAGATTGCATATCTTGCGTATCTGACATGGGAGACTGAATATCAAGCTTGTCTCTTGCTTCATCAGTTACTTGCATCACTGGTGAATGCTCAACAATAGTAACTTTGGAATATGAATCACTGTTATTGGTGTCACTCGTGGTATTGTAATTGGATAAATCGCTATCTGAGCTATATTTGGTTATGTTCTTTGATTGATTCGTCGATTCTGCTATGTTGGCTTGCACGCATTTGTCTTCAATAGTGCGTTTCACCGATTGTCTGGCCTTCAATTTTTCCTCCACTTTGACAGCTAAAGATCTGTAGTGTTTCATCTCCTCTTTGATACTGTCGGTCATCTGAAAATAATATAATATCAATACAAAGTGAGCCTATGAGAGAAGAAAAGAGACGTCATTAATTTACAAATATTTACTAATGGCGGCAGAAGAGGAATCCCGTTTACTTTTATACAAGACGTGTAAAATTCGTGTTGCATGTTTTATATTGTTACAATCTAGGAACACACTTTGTCACAATCTAACGATTAATTCCTTCTAACGGTTGACCGAATTGTCACTGAACCGATTTCGCCTCTTCTCGCAGATCTTTGCTTTCTAACGTTTCAAAACGTACACAAAGCTTTTTCTCTAAGCTTCATCATTCAAATATCGATAAGCGATCTGAAGCAATCACCAAGGAAACTAAATCTACGAGATCTTAAGTAGAGTGGAAAACCTTGAAAAGTTTACGAAGGTTAACGGATAGCCTGGCGCCATCGAACAGTGTTGAGCAGAAATCACGTTTGCGCAAAAGATTTGAGTCTCGACTAAATATGGTTCAAATCTGGGCTAGCCTTGTGACATCAATATTTAGTTCCGAAGTCTCCGCTATGAACCGCCACTTTATTTGATGAAGACTGCGGTTACGCAAGACGAACATACCTACCTTTATTCCATCACGAAAAATAGGCAAAATTCAATAATCTGTAACTTCGATAAAAATAAAGATAATAAGATAGTTCGAGAAGCATTTTTAAGCTTCAAGTCTCTACTTTTCAGATATATTAGATTCATATATATTGAGAAATGTTATTCTCATTTTTCGCCAAGTTATATCAAGTTAAACGAGAAATGGTAATCATTCGAATTTATAACATTCTTTCAATTAAATTTTTATATATTGAAAAATTTAAAAGCATGACCAAATATACATTTAAAAATATGACAAATGTATTTTAAAGAGAGAAAACTTTGAGTTCTCTGTGTCCATTTCTTTCCGACATCGTACATTTATTTTTTGTCTCCCATAAGCAATCAAAGGCAAGAAGTCACTTCTGCTTCAACATTGAATATCTCGATGAAAAAAAATCTTACCGCGATTTGTTAGTACGTAAATTAAAGGAGATTCGCGCTTTCGTAATAGTATGAACTGCATTACTACATTAATATGTAATTTTTAGTTCATGTGATGCAACTCGACAAACTTCATCAATTTTTTCGGCATTTGCTGCCCTCAGGCACCCCTCAGGCTAAAAGACTCTATTGTTTTCAAACGACATGCTTCAACAGTAAGTCGAAGAATCTCACCATCTAAGAAATAACACGATTTGATGACTCGTTAGACAATCTTTCTTCGACAACAGGTAGAAAGGGCCTCTCCTTTTCGAGTGACGCGACTCCGAGTCGGCTCAGCGGGAGCTTCGTTTTCGAGTGAGATAACGGAAGGCCGCCGGCGCCGTTGCCGTCGAAGAGAATGTGATCTCTGACCGCGAAAGTGGAGGTCATTATCCCTTACCATTATGGTCAATATTATCGACCCTGAGGACGGTACAAGGCAGCGCAACGCGGCCAACTCGCCCGATAGTTCCTATGGAAACGCACGTTCGCCGCGATCGAATCGCGACACTCGTCACGGGTCTCTCCTTCAGCGTCGTACGGGCGTATGTCCTGTACGTCGTGCCAGGTGAACCCGGGGCACGGTCTCGCGGCGGCCACCACGCTTGCCGCAGTCTCGCAAATATTGATACGACGGGCGGTCGCGGATACCGGCGACAGAGTCTCCGGAGAACGGCGAAGCACGAAGTACCGGAAGCGCGGGTTGTTCGGCCGCGGAATTCCGCGTCTCGCAATTATCCGGCTTATCCGGCGGAATTAAAGCACGGCAATCGCGAATACATCCCGCTCGTGAAGCCGAACGATGAGACACTTCGCGCGAAAGAGAGACGATCGGGGTTGAGCCGACGGGGAATAATTCCAAATCAATCGATGCGTAGGTATAAAACTTTATACAGTTCTTGAAAGAACTTGACGTGGACGATGAATGGGAGAGTAGGTCGTAGTGTAGTCACGCTCAAAGTAGCGAGGAAACATCGAAAAGTGTTGGGAAGTTCTCATTGCGCTTGAGGAAGCCGGGGAAATGGATTATTCTCCAGAGTACCAATTAGAACAGAGCTCGGGCGTTCAATACTAAAATCCTCTAATCCCAGTGACACTTAAATATTTAATTACACGAGATTCCGATTGCAAAGCTCCATGACGACCTTTGAATCGTCTGATTACTTTGATTAAGGTTTAATCAAAGGTTAATTGTATTAAATCCTCACGTGAAAAGGACGATAACTTTGAGTCACGCTCTTTTCAGCGCGCATAAGCACGCTTCAAGATAGACAATGTTCTTGCGCTAAAGTAGGAAAGAGGTGGAAAAACCGGTGAAATATCGGCGTCGGAAATGCGCGAGCGATTTTATAGGAACGCTCTGGTGAACGAAGATCAAGTGTTCGGTGTCGTACGGAGCGTCGCTGACGGGGATTTGCGTTGACGGCTGCTGATGCCCGAATAGGTAGGCAGAATGGAGCTGTATGGGTAAGGGGGCTTAGTTTAGGATTCTCTTTCTCGATCATCTGTCGAAAAATAAAAAAGAAAACAACTCGCTGTTGCGCGTATTTCTTTATACGTTTCGCGCACGAGGATGACAGGAAGGACGTCGCTGGTGGAACAGAAGAGGGTCCAGTGGGCAAGGGAAAGGGGTGAGTGCAATTTATTTTCGCGCAATTTTTATCATCTTAAAAGCGCAATTACTTCGACGTATGATTTAATGGAAAATATCATTTAGCATAAATATAGCTGTAACTGTTAATAGCGAACACAAGCGAGATATATCGTTTGCTATAAAGAAAATATCTAATAGGAGATAAAAAGTGTGTGACAGGAAAGGGGGTGTCAGCGCAATTTATAATTTAAAAGCGCGGATTCTATTATTCCAACTTATAGTTTATTGGAGAATATTATTTGACGCAAATATTAACTGATGACAAGCACGACAGAGATATCATTTGCCGTAGAAAAATATTCAATAGGAGATAAAACGTGAAACGAAGGAAACTTTTGTCTCGAGCGGAACAATGTCTTGTTTCTCTATCGATTATGCAGAAGAAATGGCGCGTCTCGGAGTTAATTGGGGACCTGTGAAACCGAGCAACTGCAACCGCACCCATATTCGGTAAGTTGGTCAAAACACGAGACGACGCGTTGTTATCGCTGCATATTGCGACACGACGATCGATCTTTAATCATACCGCACACAATACGGGCCACATTCGACTTGTTAATGCACGTTTCACTCGATGACGCAACAAAAATCCTATGACGCAGCACCTTCTCGAACGATGTGAGATTATCTTTCGGGGAGGCGAAGGACAAGACTTCCGTGCAACCGTTCCGTGCGGCAGGACATTACGGGAGCACCGCCAGCCTCAAGAGCCTGACGACAGAGAATTCCGGAAATGGCAACGCGAGCCTCAAGTGTCTCGACTACAACGGCGGCAGTTTGATAAATCTCCGGGACCAAGTGGACGCGTCGCAAATCAGACGCAGGAGTCCCAGTTTGCCGCCGATCTTCAACAAGGAGCAACAGCAGTACTTCTGCCAGCTAGTGAGTGCTCGCTTCGTTAAAAAGAAAATTGTGACAAATAACATACTGAACAACAAATTGGGAGTAAGAGAGAATAATTGGCAAATTATATCACAATTATATCGTGTGATACATATACACGGAAAGAATATTATAGATTTTTTAATATAAATTCTTTTTATTTTTGTTACGTTTTTACGTAGTTTACACACACATATAAACTCGTTAAACAACAATTTCGTTAAAAACACGTAGCAGATTTCGCTAGAAACGTAGCAAGTGTCTTAATAGCACATTTCAGTCCCTAAAATATAAGTAGCACCTATAAAATGAAGAGAATTACTGCGGAATATCGATCTCACTGTGTTGCAAAAACCTACAATGATTTTTAATATAAAATTTTCTCTATGTATATATATTATTATTTTAACAAGTAACAAATTTATATGAGAAAAACGGAAGCCTCGGACGCAATCCTGGACATTTTTATAGCTTTGGTCTTTAAATGTGAACTCTGTAAAACACCAACCAAGAGTGAGATTACATTAATTTTATAATTTCCCACTCAGCAATTTAAATGTAATGTAAAAAATACTGTTTTACATAACAGTTACATTGTTAAATTATAACATTGATGTAATGTTACTGTTAGTTAATGTTTACTAGAAATATCTAAACTTTCGACATAGAATATGTATATATTCAATACATGAATATACATTCTGTTGAAAGTATTTGTACTTAAAGGTCAAAACGATAAGAATATCCAGAGAATCGATACTTTTACTTCGAAGTAAAATAGAACAACGTTGGAGATCAATCTGGGAAGATGATTAAGCGAATCGTGTTCGATGGTCGTATATTTGAAAAGAAAAAGACTATATCTGGGACGGTCTCGTTTCAAGTTATATTCGAGCTCGCCAAATCGCCCGAGGCCGATATCTTACTCTCATCTCTCGTCGTGAAATTTTCATATCGCGATATCAATTCTGATAACGTCGCGCTCCATCAATTTCTGCCGTTCGACGTGAATTTTCCATTAAGGATCGACCGAACCGTTAATAAGATTGCTCCGCCCGGTTTCGTTACAAATGAAAGCTCGCGGAATGTCGCGCGCGTTATCGTCGGCTGAATAATTGATCGTTCACTCGCAAGCTTCGTTAGTCGCGTGTAACGGCTCGACGACAAAGTCATCATACAGCCAAAGCAATCAAGCAATTACGACGGTGGTGTAGTTTGAAATTTCATGTAAAGGATCTCTTTGTTGACGAAGTTCGTTCATTCATCGAGGAACATACCGAATTTGGATCCTCGCATCGGAACACTCAAATATCCGTGCATCGAATATGTTCCTTTTTGGAATGTATTTATGCGAGTGCGATGTCGATTGCACGTGCGACTAGCTAGATGTGAGGCGCTTCCGCGCGAATTCCGCGGCCGTAAGCGAATCAATTGAATTAACGATCGTATCTGATCAACAATTTCACTGGCGGTGAGCGACACTCGATAGTTCATTCCCCTCCGGTGCGGGGAAAGCAAAAGTAAGTCACTACGGCGAATCGATTCCTATCGCGCAATTAAAGTTCAACGCCCTCAAGGCTATACACTTTGCTTTCAAACTTGAGAGCCACGAGCGAACCAGGGAAACGCTAAAGTTCACCCTTCAGCCTCGCGACACGGCGCGAACGATGCGAGCCTCGTGCCACGTCCGTGGCACAAATCGCACCGGCTTATCGTGATCGTTAACACAAAAACTACCCTTCGTCCGCGCAAAGTGGCTTTACCTTCGTAAAGTTGACGTAGCGTTACGACGAACGTCTCCAAAAAATGTACAAGATTGTAAATTCAGATTGATTGATCTCTGCGATTCTTCAAACGTGTACACCGATCTCTCGATTGCGCCAAGTTGCAATTCTCCTCTTAATTTATTTCAGATCGCGAACATCCCTCGCGGAATCAATTTTCTTAGAACTCTGTTCTCGAGTCATTAGTAGAGCGGAGGTTGCTCGTGCTAAATACCTAAATACGTAAATGACCGGTTCACGTGTGCACGTTCGTTTTAACAGAGGGGAAAAATGTCGCAATACCGGAAAATATCTCGAAATGTTGGCATTATGTAAGCATGTAAGAATAGAAAGCAGATCGTGCGTGATTTATGCAGCGGCCCGACGTCTCCGCGCGGCACGACGCTAATATTGCGCCGTGTACTCGCGCTGTCGGAGGGCGGCATAATACCGCGAGCCACGAAAGCCGGAACTCTCGCGTCTTGATCACGCGAGAACACACCGCCCCTCTCTGTACCCCGCCACCCCCGCCGTCACCAGCGAGAAAGGCAGCGTCTTATCGTTATCGTCCTATGCAGGAACAACAGCGAGATTTCGGCGTGGAGGGGTCGCGTTATCAGCAAACGAGGTCGCAAAAACCGGAACACCATAGGCACCGAACCAACAACGACCAACGTCGCGGCACCCAGAAGGAGTCCCTCCATCATTACGGCTCTCCGGGCGAAGAGCGCGAGGGGGAGACCTCTGGTTACGCGAGCGACTCCGTGGACGTACCGTCGCAAGGGCAAAGTGGGTCCTCCTGCATTCTAGATTAGTTCCTGGCATTTCGAAAATCTCAGAAATTCAGCTGCTTTAATATTAAAATCCTTTAATATTAAAGGAACTGAATTTCTGAGATTTTCTGAAGGACTAAAATTTTAATATTAAGTGCAGTAATATTGAAGTCCTTTAATATTAATTGATTGATCAAATTTAACTCAAACATTAAATTAGCGAAATCCTGTAAGTTTCTTAATTCGTCGAAATCTTGTCGATGATAATAAGGCTCCCTCGTGAGATGGATAATATGGAAGGTAGGGGAAAAGAAAGGATATGGGATGATGAAATCGATGAGATTAAAGGGAAAGTATTAAAAAGAATGTGGAGAGAAAGGGAGGGTAAAATCAAAGAGAAAGAAAGAGTAGGAGAAAAAGAAAAAGAAAAAGGATAAAGTGAAATGGGGTAAAGGAAAGAAGAAAGAGAGAGGAGAATTTAATGTGATATAGATATAGAAAGTATGGAGGAATGGAAAGAATGAATGAATGGAGGATGTGTGGAATGTGTGAGGTAGTTGTTTAATGTAAACCAAGTCCCCTTCTTGGCTATTTAATGTATATAGCTGAATGGTAATAAATTATATATATATATATATATATATATAATAAGGCTCCCTCGTCGCTCAACCCGTTTATATTTTCAAGGAGCTTTAGCCGGCGGCAAAATGGCAAGGATCGAGATGACGGAGAAGACCTGGCAGAATCCTTACTGTACCACGCCGGAGAGTTCACTACCACCCTCGAGGAGACTCTCGCCCGGCAGAATGGGAGAGCTCAACAGGCCACGATGGGGCAGTGTCTGGGGGCAAGACGCGGCAAGAGGCGATCCGCCACCGCCGCCCTCGTGGCTATCAAGATTAGGACAGTCGAGTCAAGTAATGCCTGCACACTTTGAGGAACTTGTTGAATGTCCTTGAAGCTTCGGAGAATAACAACAAGCCTTTCTTTCATCTCTCTCTCTCTCTCTCTCTCCCCCACAATTTCGACAATTTATTTTCATCCATTTTGCCTTTTCTAGTCTTAAGGCTCCTGGGGAGTCGCATCATCCATCTCTTTTTAATGACGTCAGAAGCTAGAAAACGCATGCTAAAAATTCCTGCAAAATACGTCGAGATAAACAGATATATCCACAAAACGACATTTGCGATCGATTAAGTACACCTCTAAAATACTCCGTACACTTTCCTTTTGTTCTAA